GAACAAATAACTGTTACGAGTGTACCAGAACAGCAACAACCAGAAATAGAAGAGAAAGAGGTAGGTTTAGTTTTTCACGAATCAATCATACCATTCCGTATTCGTTCATACAATTGAATTCATTTGTTCACAGATACCGAAAAAAGAATTACCCGTACATGAAGTCGAAGAAACAAGTACTGTAACATTAACTTTTGAGAAACCACAAAGTACAAAACCTGAAGACGTTGTTCTACTTAAAGGTGGAGAAGAATTAAAACCTTCAGATCACGTAAAGGTTACTCCGACTTCACCAACTACAACAGAAGTTCAAATTGTTAAAGTTAAACCTGAAGATGAAGGTGATTATACAGTTGAAGTCGAAGGTGTTGAACAACCGCTTGTTCGACTTAAAGTTCATCGCAAACCAGTTATTCGACAAGAAATACAATTGCCAAAAGTTAAATTCAATGAAAAAGAAACACTTACTATTGTTTGTCAATTTGATGCTACACCTGAAGAACCTTTCAGCTTTCTTCATAATGAACAACCAATTGTACCAGATTCTCGTGTGACAACCACTGTTGAAGACAATAAATATACAATTGTCGTAAACGATCTTCGTCCAGAAGAAGATGAAGGTGTTTATACACTTAAATCAGATCATTTGATTCTTGATACACCATCAATCACTGTCGTTCCTGTAGAAAAGAAACCCAAAACAGAAACAACTACTGTAGAAGAAGAAAAAGTTACAGTTGTACCACAAGAGGAACAACCACAAACCGTTGTCCATGAAGTGAAAGAAGTGACACACATACCAGAAGAGAAAAAGGTAGGACTGTTTATATAATTACGTGAAATATCGCACGCAGTTCGTTCCGTTATTTAGCCTGAAGAAGGTGTCGAAGTTCCGACTCAAGAAGTTCAAGAAGGTACTACTGTTACTTTAACTGTAGAAATACCTGAAGGTACAACACATAAAATAATAATCTTACTGAAAGACAAACAACCACTGAAACCTTCAGAACGTATCAAAATCATACACACATCATCAACAACTATCGAGATTCAAATTATAAAGGCTAAACCCCAAGACGAAGGAATATATAGTGTTCTCATTGATAAAAAAGAACAACCAATAGTACGACTGAAAGTTA